CTGAAGACTTGAAAAGAGCAAGAGTTGTGGAATAAGAGTCAATATTCTTAAGCACTGCCAAACATAAGTGTTTGATGTAAGCCAGCTGGGATAACAAGTGACATGGGTTAGCTGTACAAGGAGGAAGGCACAAAGGCACCAGCATCCATGTGGAGTTCATTGCTTAGCCTTTCCAAGCGGGTTAGGCTGGTCATTCAGGAGCTGGGTCTAGTAAGTGCTCCTGTCTCTCATCTAGCCTCACATTCCCTTTTTGGGAACTAGGCAAGCAATAGGTATCATGTCTCTAAATGCAAAAGTCAGCTAATCGTTGTGGGAGCGGGGGTGGGGGGGAAGAGGGATGGACACCTTATTCATGTTCATCTATGAATATCATACCAGAAACAAAGTTACTCAGGCACTGTTGGATTAAAAAAACCTATGTTCCTTCAGCCAGTATCGTTCACTTTCCTTTCTTTGGTAGCAAAGTTATTTGCATTGTGGTGCTTGGATGCAGTCAGGGTTTACCACATCAGGGTTGACGCATCATTTAGTGGACCAGCTGTGTGTTGATGGAGGAGCTTTGGGCACCTCTTGGAATAAAAATAGCCTGAGCTAGGCACCAGGGGTAGGGAGGTCTCAGCTTCTCATCTTTGAATCCTTTAGCCCCATCACATGGGTGACACATCAGAACTAATTTGAGGTGTTAGCAGCTGTTTATTCTGCTTTTTGCTATACACCTTTCCCAACATACTGGTTACTGTCCTTAACTTCCTTCTTTACAAGCTGAAGTTCTTGCCTGTGCACTTCTCTTGACTCTGTAGTGACTCTGCTATAGAGTTTTTTCTTGCATTTATAGTATTAAGTGCTAATTTAAAGGACCAGTGCACCAGGTTGGTGTACAAGCAAATACTCAAGCAAATGTCCTAGCCTGCGACCTCAAAGACTTTAAAGCATTCCATGTTAGAGAGGTGGCCAGAGCAAATGCATCCTAAAGCAGTGGGGAACATCTCTTGGGTGACCAAGGAGTTCTGTTAGGAAGTTTGTTTGAAAAGAGTATAGGTGTCTTGCTGGTTCATCCATAGCTGCATTTGACAATCATGGATCAGGTGTCGGGTTTAGGGTTGATTCCATGTGTCCAGCTCCCTTGAAACATACTTTCTTCGTTCTTCCATGATTTAAGTGTTTTATTTATCTGCACCCTAAGAGCATATAATAGTCACTTCTTTTCCATGGCAACGCCTGTTTCCAGAATTTGCCATCTGGTGTTTCATGTTCCTCTCTCTCTTCTCCTCCCCTCCCGCCCCCCACTTTTTTTCTTTTTTTTTTTTTTTTTTCAGCAGCTCTAACATTACTCATTCTGCATCCATTTTGACTTCAGCATTTGAGTGACATTTTCTTTATTACTCATCAGAAATTTCAGTAGGTCTGTATTCTAAGCCCTCTGCAGATATATAGCTAATTAAGCCGGCTATATTCCTCTTTAGAAGGAGGGAACTGCTGCTTCATATGAAGTATTAATGGACTACAATATTCTTGCAATTTTTGCTAGTGTGTTATTTATTTCTATGGTATATGGTGTGATTTTAATAGCGGTTTTTTCTGACTAAAAAAATTAAAACATTTGCTCTTTAAATAATGTAAATTGTATAAGCCATATATATGCATTTAAAAGACTAGGAACCCAGAAACTTCTTGTCTACAGTTTTAGTTAGCAGCCTTTGCTTATTTTTCTCTATAGAAAAACCAGAAATGCAAAAGGTGATGTCATGCACATAACATAAGGGCATGCGAATAACTGATAAACAGTGCTCTTTTGGTCCTCTTGATCTTTCTCCTAGATTCCTTCCTGTTACCTTTTAACAACTATTTGATCTTGCCTTTACATGTTTTTTTAATTGCTGTCTTAGAAACTGCTGTCAGGAGGGTGATACAGGCCCTCAGTGTGGGAATTTTCACAGGAGCAGAAGGATGCCGATAGCAGTCAGGTTACTCCCTTTAACTTAGAGGAACGAGCTCTTATACCAAGGGAGTTAGAAGACCATGAGCTGGTTTCTGGCAGAAACTGTAGTTAGGCAAGAATTTCTGAAACCCCAGGACAGACAGCCTTTGACCGGGAGAGGCAGTAGGGACCTCTACTGTCAAGTAGGGGTTTTTTTAAATAAACAAAGGCCTTGGGCGTGCTTTTAGTCTGTATTGCAAACCAAAAAGATTATTTGCATTTTTCCCCTTGATTTCTTTTCTCTTCCTAGGCACTTAAATAAAATAAAGAAACCCCATCATTAATGAGACAAGCAGAAAATTAGAAAATACTTAGCTCAGTGCCATTCAGTCCTATGCAAAGCAAATAATTTGACCCCTCTGTTTTTGAGTACTGTAATTGCATTCCCGTAAGGCTGTTGCACACATCCACAACGAATGACTGTACTGCTAGCACGGTGGTACGTTACAGGGATGCCAGCGGACACTGAAGTCTGTGCAGCTCTGCCCATGTATTACTTGAAAATGAATTGATTATTTTCTTACAAGTTACAAAGTGGGTGCGGTTATTCACTGGATGGTGAGTAGGTATTTCAAAATCACACCTGGTAGTCAGGAAGACCAAGTATTTCAATGCAAACCTATGACCTTTGTAGTAAATGTGTGAAATCTGTTCTAAGGTAAGACTCATTTTGCCTTCTTGTAAAGCTGATGTGCAATACAGGTTTAAATTATTTAACTATGCTTTTTTTCTTTCAGATTGTGTTTTTGGAACAAACTGATCAGCAAGAGCAACTGGCTAAGAAGTGGGGGTTCAAGCCATCTGACATAAGAGAACTGAGTAACCAGTATGTGTTTTGTTTAGATTAATTTCAGCAAATGCAGTTTATTCTCTGAGTGAAGTAATGCTAGTCTCTGTGAATACATTTTGGTAGGGAGCACATTAAATCCAATCTCATGGGCAATACTCCCTTTCAGCTCTAGGAGAGCTTTTAACCCAAGAGCTGCCTGTGTCCTGCATGGGACTTGGAGGGTAGCCGGTGCTTTTGGCATTCCTTGGTTTGGGACTGCAGCCATGGCTGAATTGTGCTGGATGATTTACACTGCGCAGAACAAAATGCCATATTTAGCTTTCATACATGACCTCTTCTGTGCTTACAGAAGTAAATGACATTCTTTCTTGAGATTACATTTTATATCCATTTATTTAGCAGCGGGCTGTGCCTAACTAGCTCGAAACTCTGGACTTAGTAAATGTAGGTAACACTAAACTGCAGATATAAAACTCAATTGCTTGGGCTTTGACACACTTTCTAATAAAAACTAATAAAATTAGAAGATTTAAACCTCCTAAACACAGAGCCTTGGATTTCTAACTGTATTGCAGCTAGAGCGTTGCTTTTTTTCTTCAGCCAGTGAAATCCCCCACCTTTCTAGCAAAGTGAAATGGTTTTGGATTGCACCTACTATGCTTTGCATGTAGCAGCACAACTGTAAACGACTTAAAGGCTTAAAAACTAGAACTGTAGCATCGTTTTAGTGTTCAGTTGTTAAAAAAAAATAATCTGTGTGCTTTGTTGAAAGGCTAATCATACAGAAAATATGAGTCATCAGATGTTTTCTTCACTTGAAATAGCCTGAGGAAAATGGAAGATGCTGGGAATACGGATCAGATTGAGAAAGATCCTTCAGCATTTCTAGCATGCGGCAAAACAGGAAGAAGGGGAACTACAAAGAGATAAAATCACTGTTCAGTCAGTAGTCAGGGAGAAAGGGAGTGAGAGAAATTTGATACTGTACGGAGTTCCAGCACAAAACAAAATAGTTACAGCAACTTCCTGGTAATGTTGATATATTCATTCCTGTTATTGCATGAACACTACATGACAACAAACAGTACTCCTGTTCCATTGTAAATATGCCTTCCATGTCAAGACACTGAGCAGAGATTTTTTTTCGCCAGCATCTGCATTTGTAGACACAATGGCTGTTCTTCCATTAAACCTTGAAGTTCATTGATTGAACATATAGATATATAGATACATATATAATGTAGAGGGAAACTGGGATATAGAAAGTTACAGTTTTGTTAATATAATAGTCTGGCAGCTAGAGGCATTCCAAATATATCCATATTAGGAAACCAAGACTGCCCAAATCTCTTTTTCAGGTGGATTCTATGGTGGATTAATTTCAGTTATTGTGAAGTCAATTTGGCTTTAATTGTTGGTATTTAGTCTGGGTAAATAATAAAGATAATTGGATTAATCATACTGTTTTTCTCATAGCTGTACATAAGTCTGTGTAAAAGTTATTGTTCAACTGCTTCATACTGTTAAAGGAGCATGGGCAGAGGTACAGTAGGACTTGATAGGCTGATGCTAAAAGAGGAAGGTTAATCTGTACTTGCCGTTTACTCTGGTGGATTTTGCTCAAACATACTGTTTAAAGCAAAACTACTTACCTTTTTTTTTTTTCATGCCAGGAATGGTTGATACACACATTCACGCCCCTCAGTATTCATTTACTGGTACAAGAGTAGATCTACCTCTTTTGCAGTGGTTGACTACCTACACATTCCCAACAGAAGCCAAATACAAAGACAGTGATTTTGCAGAAGAAGTGTACACCAGAGTTGTTGTAAGTACTGCGTTGTTTACTTACTTGATGACATCCATGTTAGTGAAATACATGTGTGTTTTCAGAAGGTCAGCAGAAATAGTAGAGCATCTTTTAACGTCATGAAAACCAGATAGAACCAACAGTATAGCCACCGTTCTAATTGCCAGCCAAGATTGTCCCTTACTCGTTCCAGTCTTGTTCTGTTGTTGCTGATAAGACAGTTCATTTAATCACATGGTTAACAATGAACTTGTTTATCATCTTTCCTGATATCTGAGTACAATGACAAACATTTAAGAGTACTCTCAGGGCTGGTATAGCCAGGAGGTGCTGAGAACCTCAATGCAGAAGTAACCAGGCATGATAAAAAAAAATTCAGAGGATATTTCCTTTTCCACACAAAAAGTCTCTGTTATGAAATTGTCTTCTGCAAAGACTACGTTGAAGAGAAGATGCTTCTCACAGACAACAAATCTGGGGTGTTTTGGA